TTGGAACTCTGTCCTTGAGGATGGACCATCGACCTCTGGCTTCATTAGCAAATTTATGGGTTCCCTGGGTAAATGTTCTACTTCAAGCAGCTAAAGTTTGACCAACCCACAGGGAACAGCGCAAGAAAAGTTAAGCCACAATAATGAATGAGGGATATATACAGGCTAAGCTGCTGCTGATCAGCCAACAGAAATATGTCTAGTACATGCCGGCCATGCAGAGTGCCAGGCACTAGGGCCCCAGAGAATGATCACATCTGCTGCACCAAGGGACCTACGAGAGAGTTGGGAAGATGACCAAATACAGTGGAGGGTGTCAGAAGAAGTAAGGCTGACATGTTCAATTCCTGATCCCACCATTTCCCAGACATGGGTTTAGTCAAACCTGAGCTTCAATTCCCTTACCTGTAAAATGAGGATTACTTATAGCACCACTTTTCCTTGCATGGTTGAGAGGATTTGAGACAAGCTATGTGAAGAACCTAACCTAAGTCCTTTCCAATAGTAAGTCGCTGTTCAATAAATGGTTATTGTTATTGTAACTGATGTGATGATAAGTACTGAAACCTTCGAGGATAGGACATAGAAGACAAAAAGTCCAACTCATAAAAGAATAAAATGGAAGGTGGCTTCAAACCCACCCCCAGGTAACAAAAAGCCCTACTGACTTAACTATTTCATTGTAAAGCTACCTACAGCCCATGTGAGCTGCTGGAACAGGGGTAAATATTACAGGCTGCAGTTACAAAGCACTGCCTATAAAGAAGGGCTTTTGAAAGATGGGTAGGAATTTTGAAAAAGACGGGAGGAAGCACTGCATGGGGGAGAAGATAACAGGCACACGCATCTCTCCCTTAGCACCTGCCAACCCCCAGCCTCCTCCCACCCTCACAGGAATAAAAATAAAATTAATCGCCTTCTCTCATCCACATACTCTATGGCCCCTGGCTGATGGGCCTGTAATCCCTACTCAATCCCCTTCACTCTCATCTCAGCTCTGCTTCCCGTCTGCTCACAGCAAAACAGCTCTCCTAGAGAATGAATCCTTCCAGGCACACAGAAGAGAGGCAGGAATCCTGACTACTCAGAAATCTTATCACTAAGGGAGCAAGTTGGTATGTTAAGATTTGGTTACAATGCAAAACACTTGGCATAGTAAATATTTATTGACTAAGTTAAGCTTTAAACGAACATAAGGACAGCTCCATATTTCTGATAGGCTTATAGTCTAACTTTATCCTGAGGAACACTGATCCTTTAGAGATCCTAGAACTTCCAGTGGGGAAGGAGGCCAAGAACAGCTGTTTAGGAAGCAACAAGATACAAAATGGAACAGAAGGTAAAAAATAAGTCCAGCCTTCAAAGTCCCAGGTGGTTGATTTTATTAGTATGTTGCTATTGGTGCTGGTCTTGAAGGGGCCAGTACATGCAGGTCATTTCTAGTCCTCCACAGATCAGTTTCCAAGGGGGTTCAAAGTCCTGGACCTCAATTCCATACATCACTGGCTTCTCCATTATCATCATCAACTTTTCATTATTTCTGGTCCTCTTTTCACATAGTACACTTCTTTGTTTTCTCTCTGGAACCATTTACCCTCTACTACCAGGACTTTGGATAATAATTCCACCTAACAAGATGTGCACTAGGATGCTAGGCACACAGAGGTCAAAAAGCACTAATGGTGGTGGCCAGCAGGTCCCTCATGCACCCAACTCTGTTGATGCCCCGTGGTTCATATGTTCTTCATGGTTTATACTTGAAGCTCTCACCATGGAAGTGGCTGAGAAAATCAGGATCCTACCTTTCTTCTCAAGACATTTAACATGCATCAGAAGAGATTACACTGCACTTGAAGAGGGACCTGAGCTGAAGCTTGACTTCTTCTGTCCATCTCTCATCCCCCAGAGGCCAGCCAACAGGTCTTCCTGGGGCTGCTTCTATCACAAAGATGGTGTTACAGTGTCCATTTCTCTCCTGCCTCCCTACCTATGAAGTTCCTAAGGATCAAGAGCATATACATGCATTTATCCCCACTGCACTCCAGCACCTATTCTAGGGCCTGGCATACAGTAGGTACTCACTAAATGTTTGCCCAGGAAAAAGACAACCAGGCAGAATATCACTGGGCCAGGAATTGTCCAGACTCTGTTGATTCAAAGTTCAGCTACTAAGAAATAAGTGAGGAGGACCTTCTGAGTCAGGCAGGCTGCCGGGATGGTACCAGGAAGAGCAGTGCCAGAGGCAAGGTGAATCTGGCCTTGTGACCACAGTCTCAGGAAACTCTGACCTTCAGTGTGGACCTTGCTCCCTGAGGGCCAAGACTGAGGAACTCACATTTACTGTGGTGATTTACAATAACCCTCCAGGGAAAGGATAATGATTCACTTTGCAGGTGCAACTCCAAGGTCTCAGTCTCTATGGCATCTGAAGCCGTAGGACAGGCTTCCAGTGAAGCATTTTATAGAATCATACATTCTCAGGTTTGGTAAAAGCCTTAAATCTACCACTTCACCCCTGCCTTAAAGAAATGCACAAATTCCTACAATAGTCAACATCTCAACACGGTTTCTTGCCTCCCTCCCATGCTAGAGGGCACACTACCAACCTCATCCTGGGCAGCTATGACTAAAAAAAAAAAAAAAAAAAAAATGCTTTCTTTCAGATTCCTGCTTTCTACCCTCAATCCCACATGTTCTCCTCATAACTGCAAAGAGCAAAGCTAATCTCATGCACAGGACAGCCTCCCAGCTATCTGGGCAGTTAAGACCTCCTCCACCTCAGGGTTTAGAAAGATCACCACAAAAAAAGATTGCACAGCCTGCTCAAAGTGAAGCTTCCTGCAGGTCAGCAAATGCTTTCCAGTAACAGGAATCAGAGCAAGAAGATACCTACCTCATTGCCCTGAGGTGATCCTTGGGACATGTGTGGCTAGAGGAGGTAGACCAGACACCAAAATCCCCATAAATCTTAACTAACAGACTTCATAGAAACCACAAAATAATGCCAAAAGGGGCTTCTGAGATCAACCTGATTCCTTGCTTTACAAAGGAGGGCTCAAGAAGCACAGATATAAAATGACTGAAAGGAGCACAATAATTAAGCACCAGGACAACAATGTGAATCCTGAGAACTCCATCCTCTTGGCACAGACAGTACTGCCATGCAGCACCCTACTCCAAAACCAGGATAACACTCCCCCAGTAACAGTCTACAGCAGTCTCACTCTCATCACAACCCCAAGAAGGTAAACGGAGGAAACCTATCACCAGCTTCATTTTACAAAGGGCAACCATGAGGCACAGAGAGGTGAGGGGACTTGCTTGGGTTCCCTGGCAAAGTGAATTTATTCTTGGAACTCAAAGCTCAGTTAAGACTCTTTGCTCACTGTTGACAATGAGCTATTGAAAGGGGTCATGGAGTACTTTCTGTTGGAAATAGATTGCCCAGTTCAGGGAAGGGAGTTTTGCTGTTCAGGTTCATACTTTCTTATGATGGTTGGGTGTGCTGACACAGAAGGATCTTCAAAACTCTGGTCTTCTTTCTTTTCTGTCTCCCTGATTGGTGTGCTCCAAGGAAGAGTACCATGGAGGGTGTAAGGAGCCTGGGTTCCTCTCAGAGTGTCCCCAGACTGGCTCTGTGTCCTGGGGCATCCCTCCTATCCCTGTAACTCCAGTTTCCTCATCTACAAAAACAGTGGCAATAAGTTCTCCCCATCAGTAACCAGGATGACTAAGAGAAAGCATGAGGCAGGGAGGCCACCCCCACAGTAAGTGACTGTCCTCTTCTCTTACTTCCTCAGCTGCCTCACTGCCTCTGCAGGTGAAAGGGTCATGAAGGTCTTGTCCAAACAAAGGAGCAACATCACCTCAACAGTCCCTGACACCTGCACTTTCCAACGAGCATTTACAGTTATTAGCATCCTATTTACCACTTACTCTTAAGTCCCACATGCCAGGCATACTCTGGTGCTTTTAGTCCTCACAACTACCCATTTTGCAGATGACAAAACTTAGGCTGGTGATTTAAAGGACAGCCAGTAAGCAGTAGAGCCAGGAGGACACTCCAGTTCTAATCCAGTCCTGTGCCCCCTAAACTTTCATGTGCTGGTCAATCACTTGGGGCAATTCATGAATAATTAGATTCTGATTCTGCAGAACTAGCTGCTGCACCTCTAACATGTTCCTAAATAGATGGACCACACTCTTGAGTATCAAGGCCTCGATTTTAAGTTCCTTTAAGGTAGAATATGAATCAATGAATATCGATTTTAAGTTCCTTTAAGGTAGAATATGAGTCAATGAATATCTGACCCAAAAATCCATGCTTCCACAGTATCATCTGATCGCCACAACAAATCTCTATGGTATGATCATTCCCATTTAACAGAAGAGGAAATAGAGACTCAACTAGTAAGTAGCCTAAGGTTTTATTGCTCTTGTGAAGCAGGCCTGAGGCGATCTGCCTTCAGAACCATTGTCCTGACCACAGCTGTGGTAAGGGATGGGGGGAATAATGATTACAGACCACCCTTGGTGAGGATATGATTCATCCTGGCATATGAGCGGCTCAAAGCTTGAGAGGTCGCCAGGGTGCCAGGTCTGGAGCCCCCCGGAGGTAAACAAGGAAGCAAGGAGGAGGACGACGACGCTGGTCCTGGGCACAGTACCAGGCAGCCATGGGCAGGTGGTGAGATGACCCCTGACCCCATGGCAGCCTTTCTGGATCCAAGCACTCCCTGCGAGTCCCCAGCTCCCCGGATAGAAGCTGTTCAGCTTGGGGGGTGGGAGGGTTAGAGACATTCCAGCGATTCCAGGCACATGACCCGGTAGGAGAGAGGAGGGTTAGGAACCGGCGCGAGATGCGGCCGGGGACTTGGGGACCGATCCCCTCGCGTCCGATCCCCGTCCGCTTCGACCTGTAAAGGGAAACGCCTCTCCCACGCAGCCAAGCCTCACGGCAGCCCCCAACCCCCCAGGTTCCAGGGTGAGACAACACTCACGGCCTTCAGCTGCTCCAGCCGGTCCTTCATCCTGGTGCCCTGGGGCCCCGGGGCAGGTAGAGAGTCCCAGGTGAGCGCGTCCCAGGTGGGCGGCCGGGTCCGGCCGCGGTTAGGGAGTTCGAGGCTCAGGCGGAGGCGGGCGGCGCTGGCTCGCTAGGAGGAGCGTCCGAGACCACGGGAGTCTCCGCCGCACCGCCCCCTCCGGCCCCAGCCGGCGCTGTACGCTCCAAATCCGGCTCCCGGGCCGGCGCCGGCGCGCAGCGCTGATCCGCCCGCGGACCCGCCCCTTACCTGCGCCGCGCCCGCGTCCGCGCTCCTTCTTAAAGGGCCCGCAGCCGCCCCTCCACCCGGGACGTCTCTAACTCCGCCTCCCCTAACTCGATGTCCCTCGGGGTCTGGGTAGCGGCTCCCACACTGGTAGATCCCGCTGCAAGACCAAAGGGGGGGGGGTGGCTTCAATTTCATCTTTTCTATTAGACACCCGCGCACTATTTGCGCCAGGCTCTGTGCTAGGATCCGGCCATACAACGGACTCGTTGCTAGGCGGGGACCATCTCTCGAAAGCAAATAAAACTCTCAATGTGACTTGTACTGCATTACGTAGGAGGAAAATGTTCAGAGAATTACTAGGCGACATTCCACCTGGGGGAAGAGCATTCCAACTAACGGGATCTGCACAGTTGGGGGGCTGCTTAGCCATGGAGGTGCAAGAGGGCGTTCCAAGAGGAAATAATTGCGGGTGAGGCAGGATGGGTCCGACTGGGGCGAGGAATTTGAATTTTATGCCGTTGAAAATAGTGATCCTTCTGAGAAATGCAAGTGGTTCACTGTTCAAGTCGAACACCTGCCCCTGACAGTTTGCATGATTTGGAGAAAGCACTGTTTGTCAAGAGGATTCCGTTTCCATGTCTATAAATCGGAGTTACGTGTACCCGCTTGGTAGCTTGCTGTGAAGCTTGTGAGAGAGGAGGAGTGATTTATTCGTAGCCTATAGAGCACGGCTGTAAAATTAAGATGTCTGCATTGGAAAGTTTAAGCCCATCCCATTCCCTACGTGGTGTTCAGATTCCCAGGTGGATTGTACCATCTGAAAAGGTGAGCGGGTTCTTCTCACTGCTCCTTGCTCTTTATCCCCGTCTTCTCTCTCTTTCCCCTTCCCCGTTTTTCTTCTTGAGAACAAATTGACATATCCAGCAGAGTGGAGCTCCATAAATGGGACGGACAAGCCAACAATTTAATTTTCAAGTTAGGACGGACAGTCTGCTGTATACATTCAGGTTTAAAGGCTGTAAAATATGGTCGTAGTCCTAACAGGACTTTGCCCTTTTATGCGATCCGACTGCGTGCTCCATGCTGACTTCATCGGCTTCCATAAAGATACCGTGTGTAAGGCAGAGGTCGGGCTGTTTGAACCGGCCTGCTGTTCTCACTCAGCCCTAATCCTCTCTCTGGTGCCCTGCACGCTTCCTTCTGCTAGCTGCGTTTGCTGAGTGGAGGGGCGGATTTGTAGCCACCTGCAGATTTCCGCGCCCCCTCGTGGTCATAGCTGGACAAGGTGCGTAGATCAGAAACAATGTACTGTACCACCTCCTTTCCAGACCAGCCTCAGCAAGAGGGAGACCCCGTCCCTACCAAAAATAGAAAAATTGTTGTGTTCTGTCTTTCATAAGAAAGTGTGAGTAAATATAAGTTGGTTTCATAGAAGTACTGAGAACATTGGATACTTTTTCCTCCATTCTTGAGATACTTTACTCAGGAGAATATGTTCCAGGTCCCTTCATGTAAACATAAAAGAGGTAAAGGCTCCAACATTTTTTAGGATGAAGGAGAGAAATGGAGTGGGAAGGGAGGGGGAGGGGGAGGTTTGATAGAGGGAGGGTAAAAGGCGGGACCACACCTATGGAGCATATTACAAGGGTACAAGTCAAATCTGTCAAGTGTAGAATATAAAGTAAATGAGGCGAAAGCTATGTTGGTTGGTTTGATGTAAGCACGTCAGATTGTATAAAAAATCAACACATTTTACCCCACATATGCATAAATGTATTAATGATCTATGTGTATATGACTTAATAAAAAAAAACCAAAAATAGAAAAATTACACAGTCGCGGTGGTGCACACCTATAGTCCCAGCTACTCAGGAGACTGAGGCAAGAGGATCACTTAAATCGAAGAGTTTGATGTTGCTATGAGCTAGGCTGGGTCCATGGCTCTTTACCAACAGAGTGAGACTCTTGTCTCAAGATAAACAAAATAAATAAATACATGACTTTTTTTTTAGTGTAGATAGGTAGGTGCCCAAACTTTAGGAGAGCAGAGTCTCCTAAGAGAGACAGAGATAGAAACAACTTTTTAAGTTCCAAGTCTGAAAAAGACCACAGGGATCTGGAGTAAGAAATCCTTTCTACATAGCAGAAATCAAGGGTGGCTGGCCTATAAGCCTCTGCTCATGCAGAAGGTTCCTGTTGAAGGATAATTGTTTCTAAAACAGTAAAATCATGATTTGCATGCAAATATAAAAGGAATACACATCAAACATCTTATTTAAAGAAGAAATCAGTAAGGGGTCCAGAATAAACCTGTCCAGAGGAGATGCCAAAGAGCAGACATACATATAAGCGATCAAGAATGCTGAAGTGATATATTAATAAATGCAAAACTAGCTCTGGGGTTGGTGAGGGAACCATTGTTTTTCCACCAGACAAAATGAATTTGCATCTCTGTGGACAAGAATCATTTGCATTACTGTCAATTTTCCACAACTTACAGAGTTGGAAAATAGCTACAACTCCATAAAGGGCACAAACCATTAAAAAATCATATGACTCAGAAACAAAAGAAAAAAAAAAGAAGAAGAAAAAAATTCATACGACTCAGAAATGTGCATTAGACAAGGCCTAGCATGCCTCAGGACACCCAATAATCTTTTGGATGTATTTTGTTTGTTTGTTTGTATTGTTTTGTTCCGTTTTAATGTTTCCAGATATTCCCAAGGCAGCACCTTCCATGGTGGAACAGTTCTAACTCTACTTAAAAATTCTTTGTTGCAGAACAAAACTTTTTCTCCCTATAATTCTCACCACTATTTCCTTTTGCCTTTATCCAAATATTCAAGAAATATAATCTATACTTTACCAGATGGGCTTTCCAAGAAGGCAGAGGTGCTATCAAATGCCAGACCAATTGCTGGACACATAGACAGGAGGCCTGAGTTCTCCAAACAACTCTACCACAAAATAGCTGTCATCTGACACCACACAACCTATTTTATCATCTGTCAGATAAAGGGACTGATTAAAACTAACAATTCCCAAACGTTTCAAGGTCAAGAATATCATACGTGCATTTTTTTTTTTTTGACACAAAGTTTCACTCTGTCTCCCTTGGTGGAATGCAGTGGCATCATAGCTCACAGCAACTTTAAACTCCTGGGGTCAAGCGATCCTCTTGCCTCAGCCTCCCCAGTAGCCGGGACTACAGACACTAGTCACAACACCTGGCTATTTTTTCTATTTTTAGTAGAGATAGAGCTCACTCTCACTCAGGCTGGTCTTGAACTCCTGAGCTCACACAAATCACCCACATCGGCCTCCCAGAGTACTAGGATTATAGGCGTGATCTATCGTACCCAAGCCTGCACTACTTTTATTGAAAGACCTCTGGCTTGGACAAATTCCATAGTCGTAACAAAATATATTTACTAAGTAATAAGAAATTTTGTTTCCTATAAAAAGATGTTTCCATGAGGGAAAATGACCTTTGGGTTATTCTGTGTGTCCATAGCAGAAATGATTCTGATTTCTCTTAACTTTTAAACATTGAGAACGGCAAACAGTTGTCTTGAAGCTGCGCGACTGAGAAACCCCGACAGACGCGCAGAAATGTCGGAACAAAGTAACCATCTGAGCGACCCCAACTTTGCATTCACGGCCCCCATTTCCAAGAAGCATGACAGCCAGGGATTTGGGTTGGGGTCCCTCTGCCAGCCCCTCTGGCTGCAACCCCCGCAGAGCCACATAGCCCATTTCTAGGCCCCACTGGCACTACGCCGCCGACCCACGCCCCAGTACCGGGGCCACCTGAAGGCCCTGAACGGAGCAGACCACCAAGCAGGGCCATGCCCACCAGGCCCAGCCACCTTGAAATCATGTGATACACGCTCAAGGACCAGAAGAAGATGATCTCCCGGTTTCCAGACCTGGTGAATAATGTCATTGGCAGCTACAAGAAATGGTACAGAAGCATCCTCAGGCACACACACCAGCCTCATCCTCTCCCTAGTGTTTTGGTTGCACCTGACGCTTACCAGCCTGCTGCAAACCGTGTAGTTTGCGCTGGTCAAAGCGCTTGATCCCCAGGAGCTGGGCGGGATAGCGCTGAGCACCCACATGCCCATGACAGCTTCCTGCTCACGATCCTGAGCCTCATCCGCTTGAAGGGCCGCAGTCCCCAGAACGTGCTGCACGTTGTGGGGCTGGCGCCTTGGAAAAAGCACTCCACTTTCGCCCTTCCTTGGGGGAGTGAGGAAGCTCATCGCGAGGAGTTCGTCCAGCGAAATTACCTGAAATAGCAGCGCGTCTACGTGGAGCCTCTGAATATGAGTTATCCTGGGGCTTCTGAGCCACCTGCAAAATTACCAAAAAGCCAATCATGGAGTTTCTGGGTAGGGTTTTTACGAAAGATCCCCAGGCTGGCCTGCCCTTTACAGAAACGCTCTGGAGGAGGCCAGAGCTTTAAGGGAGGCTAATCCCAGTGCCCACTGCCCCCCACAACAGCGTCTCTGAGGACTAGCAAAGTTTGGAGGCAGCATAATGGTTTCCAACCCTCACCAGGGCTATGAAAGGGTGGGGGGGGGTCGTTATAGTATTCAACATTTACAGCGCAGTATTCAGGTGTAACCTGTAAATTTTCAGTACAGTGTTTGTATATGCCATTTAATGCAATGTTGTATGTATTTGGGTACTATTAAGTAGTGCTTCGGCTTACGCGTGTTTGCTTATATGGAAGCTCTGTTGGTGCTTTCACTTTTGTGCAAGAATTTTTGAACCAGAGATGCGCTAAACTGATGAAATATATTGAGA